AGTATTAGAGAATATATAACAAAAGTATTTCCCATCTATTTTGACAAAGAACAAAATGAATACATTTTTATGTAGATACTTTACTTTTATTATTTGAAATATTTTTTTTTTGTTACCATTTACAATGACAATTTGTTTCATTCCCTCTCTACAATAATTTCTTTTAATTTGTTCCATACAACTTTTTCTATTCTTTTTTCTCTTTATTCCTATTATTCTTCGGTGGTCACCAGTTAGAGCCTATATATTGGAAAAAAAATTTCCTCTAAAAAAAAGAAACATTTGAGTAAAAAAAATTTGATTCTCTTTTATGATGGGCTCAGAAAAAATGAATATAAAAAAAATTCTTATACTTTGTTTACCAATCACAACCATATAACACACAAAGTCTACTTCTACTTTCTTTGTCCCATTATATAAGATGTTTTAAAAATATTTTTTTGTTCCATTTTATTTGATTTTTTCAAGTTTTTATGCAAAATTTAATGCATTATGACTATTTATATTCTGATGTATTTATTTTTATTTGTTGATTTAGTTTTAATTAAATATTAAATAGCGTTTTTAATGTAAAAAAACAAAACAAAAACAAAATTTTTTTTTTAATAATTCTGAATCTTTGCGTTTTTTCGATAAAAAATCTTATATAATAAGACACTTTCTACTATTCTATTTCCTTCTATTTAACATGTGTTACATTGTTACTTAAAACCTTATTTGCTATTGAATGCTAACACATTTTGGTCAATTGGTTATAAATACCGCACAGGTATTATCATAGATGTAAAAATATTGCATTATATGTGTAACATTTACTAAGAGAAATATCCTAAAATAATAAGTAAATTTTTAGTTTTTGTTCCAAACATAACACCACAAGTTTAAACTTCCAATAATAGCACAAATTACTATGCGAAAATATTTGTGTACCCAAATGAATTACAAACATAATTTAGGATTTATCCATCTTTGTGCCCTATATTTCTTTTAAATATGATCAATTTTAAAACAAATGTTCATCCACTTGGAACTTTAGATCATTGGTCTTCTAATCCAACTTTTTTTTTTTTGGTAGAACTTGGACTCCCATCATCTTATTAGAAGAATTATTGTGAATAGAAAGAAATCTCTCTTGTGAAGTGAAGAAAACGAAGATCAGTTCTCGAGAGAAATTGGAAATAAGAATTATATTTATGTTCGTGTAAAGATGTTTTACAATGTGTAAATATAAAATAACCTAATTGGTATAAGCCGGTTAACACTAAACCAATCTATGATATTTAATACTCTCCCTCAAGATGGAAGAAACTTGCAACTCCATGTGAACTGGAGAAGAGTAAAAGCAGAATACCAACCAAAACACATAAATCTTTTGGTGGTCTCGGTAAGAAACAATAAAGAAGATCAATGATAGATCCAAACCAACCAGAACAAGCCACAAGCATATGTTCTATAAAGTCATAGTCGCGGCTCTGTTCGAGTAGCATAAGGTGGCACGCAATCCAAATACGTCAGCATCATAGATCTTTACTCCACCACATTCCAATAGATCAAATAGGGAACCCTTCAACCAACCATATATCATTTCCTTGAAGTACAATCCCTTTGCAAAACCATAAGCATCTTCATGAATCAAAGGAACCAAACTATTGGTTCTACTTGTCAATATCTCCTCCTGTCGTAGAATACACCTTGATGAAACATGTCTTACAGGATAAACCAACCAATTGGAAGAAACAAAGTCCTCCTTGTGTATCCGTGATAACATCATAACAAACCAACGTAACTAAAAAATGCATTTGGAAAAGGGAGTAATGAAAAATTATGATATATTATCCTCAAACATTCTGAAGCATCAGAACTGACATTGACAGTTGAAAGAGCGACCAACAAGAAGCAGCAGCTGTCAAATGACATTCCCATTTGATGAAACAAGTTATGAAGCTCTTGTAAACCATGTCTTATTCTATGACAAACTGAAGATTTACACAACATTTTCGAACAGGTTGTGTATCATCCAACAACATACCAATTTCATAAACCAGGGAGGCTAAATGCAGAGACACATAGCAATAAGTTTCATGGAAGTCTAAACATCATCTAGAAGCATCACACTTACACTTCTGTGTATGATCTGCTAACCAATGCTCCCCTACCTAAAAGCATATCTATTAGCCAAATATCTCTAAATTGCAACATCAACCATATACTTTTTACGTGAAGCTACATTCTTAGAGACCAAAGTCAGAGAACATGTACATACCACATGAGATTGAACATCTGGTGGTCGCGGAAGAGATCCATAGATGAACATAAGCTCTGACTTGAGATTCAACCATGGCTTATCCCCACACAGCTGAGCACCAACACGGATAGCTTTTGGTGGAGCAATAAACTCAACAAACCAGGAAACGATGAATATAAATATGTCAAAACAACAATCACATATCAAGCTCAATCGATATCAACACACTGAGATAAATCGAATCAACACTTGAATTAACTGAAATTGCTGCAAAACAAACTCAACAGAACAGTTGATACATAGAACAGAGAAATATCTTCACAACGGGAAGATCTCTGAATAGATCGACCAAACAACCGATGGAAAAAACTTAGATCGCCAATGAATCCATCAATACTATTCTTCGATTTTCTTCCAAACTCATCGTCGTTACACTGATCCAACTGAATCGGAGTCAAAAATACGCGATAAACTTTTTGATTGTAGAAATTGATCCATCGATTCCGAACAAAATACAAATTCAGGTTCAAAGATTTAGATGAAAAATTGCATGACTTCCTCTCTTGTTTCGCCGTAGGCAAGAATCAAGCTCACAAGTAAGATTGAACCAAAGACGAAGCTCACATCAACAAATCTATAGCTTTTGATGTCAATCAAAAGTCATATTGAAACTCGATCTCACAATCAATCGGTGAAAACAGAAAAAAAAACAAAGAAAACGAACGAAAATCAGAAAGATGAGTAGAGATATTGCTCTGATACCATATTAGAAGAATTATTGTGAATAAGAAGACGAAGATCAGTTCTCGAAATGATTTGAAAATAAGAATAATATTTATGTTCCGTGTAAAGATGTTTTACAATGTGTATATATACAATAACCTATCCGGTATAAGCCGGTTAACACTAAACCAATCGATGATATTTAATACTCTCCCTAAAGATGGAAGAGACTTGCATCGTGGATTTGAAACTCCATGTGAACTGGAGAAGAGTAAAAGGAAAAGACCAACCAAAACACATAAATTTTCTGGTGGTCTCGATAAGGAACAATAAAGAAGATCAAAGATAGATCCAAACCAACCAGAACAAGCCACAAGCATATGTTCTATAAAGTCATAGTCGTAGCTCTGTTTGTGTAGCATAAGGTAAGGTAAAATCTGCTTCAACAACAGCTCATGTGTGGCACGCAATTCAAATACATCAGCATCATAGATCTTTACTCCACCACATTCTAATAGATCAAATAGGGAACACTTCAACCAGCCATATATCATTTCCTTGAAGCACAATCCCTTTGCAAAACCATAAGTATCTTCATAAATCAAAGGAACCAAATCTACTTGACAATATCTCCTCATGTCGTAGAATACACCTTGATGAAGCATGTCTTATAGGACAAACCATCCAATTGTAAGAAACAAATCGTCCTTGTGCATCTGTGACAGCATCATAACAAACCAACTCAAAAATGCATTTGGAACAAAGAGTAATGGAAAACTACGATATATTCTCCTCATACATTCCAAAGCATCAAAACTGACATTGATAGATGAAAGAGCGACCAACAAGAAGTAGCAGCTGTCAGATGACATTCCCATTTGATGAAACAAGTTATGAAGCTCTTGTAATCCATGTCTTATTCTCACAGTCACTCGGGCCTGGTCACTGCGACCCCCTTTGTTCTAATCCGTAAAAAGTTAAAAACCTCAATGATCCACAAAGTGTTCTTTTGAGTTTCCAAAAAATATGCAATTTTTTTTTTTTACTAACCCACCATTATCCATAGAATATTCTTATTGTGCGATATTCTTTATCGCCTGGTTATAAACTATATTGTAGTCATATTCTACGTACTTCCACTCGGACGTCAGTGTTGTTCGTTTGCCTGTTGTGTACGACATTTGAAAACCTGCAACAAGACGTTGTAGCTACCAAACGAACAACAATCGCAACGTCTGGTCGCAGATTTTTATTACGCTAAATTTCTTCGGCGTTTAGAAAATCAAAACGCCAGACAGATCCTGCGACCGACAAACGTACAGTACTAATAGCGAAC